CCTTCAGAATACTTCATCGATGTGCAAGACGACGGCCTCCTACACGTCGCAGGGGCTGTACTTCCGGATGTGAAGGGGGAGCGCATCTTTGGGTTTGCGGAGCCGTTCAACTATGACCAAATTCTGGGCATTCTTCGCAAACAGAACCCGGGAAGAAAGTTTCACGAGAACTATGCTGCGGGAGAGTATCCATTTGTGGTCAAGCCCATTGGTCGTGCAGAAGAATTATTGCGTAGGCTCAAAGGATCTGGATGGACTTCGCTTGAGGACAGCTTGAGACTCAACACTGAGGACATTGCTGCAGCTGATGCTGCGTAAGCCAGAGCTCAGTATGGATGCCAAGAGTTTATGAAGATGTCATCAATTATATCATAGTGTCCGAGATGGGTGAAAGCTTTTTATCTTACTCAAGGGCTTAAGCTACTTGTAACCCCGTATCACTATGTGATGTATGCAAAGTATACTTCCATGGCGTCAAGACAAAAAGCGAAAATCTCATTGATCTACAAAAGAGTGAGAGAGAAAAGAAGATATGTACAGAAAGCAAGCGAGGGCGTACCCCTTCGGGCGTCGCCCCATGTACAATTTTGAAGAGGCCAATGCCCAACATGTCGGTCTAAGTTTCCATCTATCCGGTCTATATCCCTTAGACATCATAGGTGCTGCCGATGGGACCGAACTTGAGGTTGGACCAGATGACCTGACCGTTGGGGTTCTCGGCGATGACCTCGGAGGGAACACCGGAGGTGGTGGGGCATGGGCCACGGTCGACACCAGGCTCGCCGGCACGGTCGACGGGGTAGCTAGAGTCAAGCCAGAGCATGTTGGCGAAGTTCTGTGTGATTGTTAGCCGCTGTTTTGTCTTGGGCCAGACTGAAGGGTCAAAACTTACGTCGCTCCAGATGGACATGACGAGAACCATGGGGATCTCGAGGGCGCTGTTGAGCTTGGACCAGCCGCCAACTTCGTTGAAGCGGTCGCGCTCGCCGAAGACGGAGAACTGAGCCTCGCAGAACTCAGGGGTGATATCAGCGTCCTCGTTGGGGATGCCCTCGTAGGTGGTGCCGGGGATTTCGATCTTGTTGCCGTCCTGGATGAAGAACTGGGACATGCGGTTGTTCTCGAAACGAGTGACAACGCTGACGGGTGTTATTAGACATCGAATTCCATGAGTGTAATGATACTGGATGGTTGACTTACGTGAACTTCTTAGTGGTGTCGACAGTCTTGCCCGGTCCGTAGAAGTCTTGGTTGCCCATACGGTAAGGGTTGTAGTCACAACCGTTGGCGTCACAGCCGCCGCCATAGCGATCCTCGGAGTATGTACCGCCACAAGAGGTAGTCTCGCAGACGTGGTAGTTGTTGTTCTCGCAAGGGTGGGGAGTCAGGGCGAAAGCCTGCTTGTTGGACTCCCAGACGTCAATCTCAGCGCAGCAAGCACCGAGGTTGCCGAAGCCAGAGTTCTCGTCCGTGGCGGAAGGCTTCCAGCCCTCAATGTTACCCTATGAGACGGCCGAGTCAGTTCATGAAGCTCTCCGAAAACGACAACTTCAGCTTACCTTGCCACCAATGAACTTCAAGTCACGGGCGCACTGAGCGTCGCAGTAGCCGGTACCGTACTTAGCACCAGCAGCGTTGTTGGCCTCGGAGGCAAGACCACCATCCTCGTTCATGGCAACGAAGTACAACGCGCTGTTCATACCACAGTCGACGGTAGACAGATCGACATCGAATGCGAATTCGTTGTTCATGAGGGTGAACATCTGGTACTTGGAGTCGCTGTTCATGAGGTACATGCGGGATCCGATGTTCTTGCCGTACTGGTGCTCTTGGACAAACTTCAGGGTCATGGCGTTGCCGCTGGTCGAGACACCGTAGGTGCCCGAGTAGTTGGCTCCTTCGACCGCACAGTTCTTAGCACAGTCATCAGGGCCGGAGCATTTGTCGGTCCATTGGTTGCCGTCGTAGCAATTCTCGTAGCCACTAAGAGTTTGGGTCAGTTCCCCGTGCGAGATAGCAAGTCGATATCAGAATGGCAACGTACCCGACATTGTGAGCCCAGCGCCAGTTGGCGTCAATGACAACGTCAGAGCTCTTGGTGCTGCAAGAGCCAGAGGTGCAGTCGGACCAGCTCAGCTTCGGGTGAACCTCAGCCTCCTCGGTGCCGACCTGCTGGGCCACGGCCATGGCCAGCATGGAAAGAGCGGTGATGGTGTACTTCATCGTGAAGAGAATCAAAGGGAGTGGAATGCTGCCGGTGAAGACTGGGAATTGCTGAATTGCGTGATGAGGATGGAGTCCAAATCACCTCCTTCGAGTGGAAACCATCGTCCTACTTATGCTTTCGAACTTCGTCTCTCAAAATTTGAGTTCGCCCCCTTTCGGAATGAGGCTCGCCGTGTAGATTTACTTTGGCGTCCCGAAATCCGGTAGCATCGCGTCGTCGTTCCGTGACAGAATCATTAGATGAACCGTCATCAATCGACCAAACGGGGCTAACCTTCCCATGACCAGGTGTCACCCGAGCGGCTCTTCTCAAATGCCAACATGCTTCATGTGACCTCAACTTCGAAGTCAACCTCACATCTGGAGAAAACCTCAAGTGGCAGCCGGGACGAAGATCCCGTAAGCTCCCAGGTACCCACGACAATCCCAGCAAAAGAAGCAGTTGCCCAAAGCAGCGATCTCCTCGCTAAACCCGTGGAAATCGTAGCCGTTTGCGCCGGAAATCTCCCTATATCAAACAGTCGCCAAGGTCTTGTCAACGGGGCGCAGGTTGCTCTATTGGCTGGATGTTGAGATATCAACGGGTTGTGGCGGACGGATTGTGATGAGCCAAGTCATGTTATCCATGGAGTATGTCTCGGCGTCGGCAGGAGACAGCAGAGACGTGCGGGATGGGCGGCTAGATGTTGCGTGAGCCCTCAGGAACGGCCGCTGATCGCAGCCGTCTTCGGTTCTCGCTAGTTCGATGTCCGAACTGATCCAGCAAGGCTCCCTGGTCCGTCTCGGCGATTGCTGACAAGGACGCGTAGGTAGGAGGCCGCGCTGTCTCTTTCTCCCGCAGCGGACTCCTGGAAAGATGCTCCCCTGCATGTAACCACGTCCACATGTTTACGCTTGGCAAGTGAGCTTGAAGTTTTTCCAGCCATACAGGCATGAAAAGAAGAAAAGAAGTGGATGTTTTGAGTCTTGGGGAGTTTCCGCTTCGGCTCTGCGCCGACTCGGGCCTCAGCCGAGAGCTCCGATACCTGATCATCGCCACTCCGTTAGCAACCCGGCATGAATCAACAAATAGCAACTCCTAACTTAATCTCACATACCGCGCGCCGTGCAAGCCTGGGTCGCAAAATAACAGAGTGCCACGCCACTCGTATTAGGAGAGGTCGGGCGGCAGAGGACGGGCGGCAAAGGACGGCATGCGAGTTCGGTTCCGATGGCAGCAAAGCGGCAGCCGGTAGTGCAGGCCGCGAGGCCTGTCAGGCTTCGTTTGAGTTGAACTCAGGGGCCAAGAAATAAAGTGTGGCCCGATGGCTCTTGGCTCTGACTTTTGCCGAAGAGGCGTCTGGGGGATCTGCGGGGGGAAGTCTTGGCCAGCAGGCATTCGAGCGACAAACGGGCGAGGCGGGGATAAATATGTCGTCCTCATTGGTTTTATAGCGGGGTAAGCGGGAAAACGTCACGGCAGACGGAGGTTGACGTTCCGTGGACTTCATATAATTCATATTAACATCCGGCTTCGATTGGTGTCGTGCCTTGCTGACGTAGTCCTTACTATTCGCTTCCGCACATCCAGAGTCGCATTCTGCAATGCCACGGCGAGACGCTGGAAGTTACTGTTGGATGGAAAACGGCGGCAAACAGCAGATTTAGATGGGGATGTCTTGGAAAATCGATCAGGAGATCTCAATCTCGCGGGTCAGGCGCTGTCATGCACACAATACTTGGATTGCGGTTCATCGGAACACGGCCCGTCAACTAGTCGCACAACATCGACACATTGTCCTTGATTGCTTCGGCCTTTTGATCAAAATGTTGCTACGAATCAGAGTCTTTTTGTTCCTGTCAGTGGCTGAGAGTTCAAACTCAAACACGGGGCCTCCCGAAATACCGGGTGTTATCCGGACTGTAGCCGCGGGCATGTCACGATGCCCGGCTACAGATGCACTTGGCTTAAGAGACACTTGCCAAGACGAATTTTGTGGTTTGTCGCCATGATTTATCCACAAGGAACCTTCATTCGCAACTCCGCCTTGGTCTCTTGGCCTTCGCCCGTCTGATGCCTTGGCGATAAGTAGTAGGCTATCACTCTGTCATTTTCTTAAAAGCCGTTGCGCTTGGCTTCTTCTTTTCCCCGGACAGCCATTTTTGCGAAGGCATTCATTTTTCATTGATCATTGTAGATTATAATCTCCTCGTCAATTGCTATTCCGGCCATGAGTTCGAGGTCTTTCCGATTCAGATATGAAAAAAGCGCTCCGCAGTGAGGACATACATCTTCACGGCCTTGACAAGCTTTGACGTCGCAAAGCTTACGTTCGCTCTACAACCATCTCGTTCAATGTAGGGCTACACTAAACTAACGCATGACGTAGCTCGGAAATCGGTTCGCGAGTGCAATCTAAAACGTATCACTGCCTCAGAACAGGTGTGATATCTGCAGGAAGAGAGGCCCGGAACTCGGTAAGGCAAAGCAGGTTGTAGATTGGCCAATAAGTATTCAACGCACTGGATAACCGAAGCACAGCACTCTTAGATAGCCGTGGCGCTCATGTGCAATCTAATTAACGGAAAATTGATTAAAGCATGTGACTCGCCCTTGTACCACCCGAAGGCGCTAGAAACAATCACCGCGGTGACTTTGAGCATTTTGCAAAACCATCCCGCACAAGCTTGCTCTCCATCAGCACGTCCCAATGATGACACGCGTACATCTGGTTGTTTGAGAGATTGATCTCTGATTTCCCGCGCTCATAAACATCCTTACCTACCATATGAATCTACCGCTCCAACAACACCTTGTCCTTCGTTGATGACGCTAATCAGTGTGCTTACGCAGGATCCGGCATCCTCGAGGGCGTTGTTCAGACCCTGTGCGCGGTCTAGTCATATGGTAACTGACCCAGAATCAAAGTCCGTGGCAACCCCCAACTCACAAGGAACCATTGGGTGCGCCGCATCACCAGCGAGGAGGACTCGGCCTCCAAAGTTGTTCCAGGGTTGTATTTTCGTCCATGACCCAAACTGTCCCTTGTTAGTGTTTCCACTGAATCCCTTTGGATCTTTCGCAGAGTGCACTTACATGGTCAATCGGAAGGTGTGTGTCTGGCTTCACCCATTCGGCCACTGACTTGAAGGGCTCGCAGTAGTTTGAGCCCAACTTTTTGAACAGCGCCATGCGTTCCTCCTGGGTTTTGGGCTGTTCTTTCCCGTCATCAGGCCAGTAAGAAAGTGAGACCTGGAATACCCATGATGCTGGGTCATTGGGGGTTTTGACGTCGCCCACTAGGCAAGGTCAGGTCCGTGTACAAGAGTCAAAGGGTTAACGACGTACTGGTCAAGAAAAAACACGTCTTTTGTTCAGGGTGAGGACCCAACTGTGACGTGTTAAATCTGTGGATTTCTTGATCAGAATGTCTTTGGACGTACTGTCGCAACGGGATGAATCTGACTACGCAGATGTGAAGCCTGTTCTGCGGTGAAAGTTGCCCCGAAATTCTACCCTGGTCAGCTTTTCAAAGGTAGACTGATGAGAGCAATACTTACGAAAACTGCCACCGGGGCAGGTGTCAGGTCGGTTGCGTTTTCAGGAATAGCTGTTCCCGCACTTTGCTGCGGGCTGAGAAAAGAAGTCAGCCAGAGCCCAATAAAGCCTGGCTTCGCACCCGCAATGACTTACGTCCGTCAGCCCCTATCAAAAAAAGCCCCTTTCCAGACCTCATCTCCGTTATTGAAAGTAGCAGTCACAACGCCATCTTTTACCGAAAAGGACTCATCTCTCTGCCAAATCGGACATCTAAATCTGCACGGAGGAGATCTCTGAGCCGACCGCGGTGAACCCGCCTTGGTCCATCGGCTGCAACGTGAGTTACGAGATCCCCCGTCTTGCCATTATACATCGGAATTGTCTTGGAGGCCTCGTGAGGAATGTCGGCGTGCGGGTCTGTCTGCGCGCTCTTGAGGTTGGCGGCAAGGTCTGCAGGCAGACATTCGTCAATGTTGTGAGTAGCCCAGTGCAACGCCATTCCCCAAAGGCCTGCTCTGTCTTGATATTTTTCGTAAGGCTGCCTCTCGAAGACTTCGACTGGTATGCCGGCCTCGTGCTGTGTCAACATGATGTCTTCTACAATTGAGACATCACCTTGCAGGTCTCACCCACCTTCTTCAGTCCTTGAGCAATCAACAAGCCGGTGGCCCCTTGGGTAAACGGTCAGTACTGGAATATTTATGTTGCAGCTGAGAACCCACCAGCGCCAATGACTAGAACTCGACGGCTCTCTTCAGAAGACATGTTAGTAAGTGGTCCTGAAACTGTCGTCGGTTTCTCTGTTACGGCGTCGAACGGCCTGGTAGATGGATAAATCTGGGGCTGAAGGTTGGGATCAGCCGGCTGTACTTAACAAGGACTCGTTATTGAACTCTTCTGGAGTTTTCCCCTCCGTATGCATCCAGAAATTCACACTACGCTGTGGTGTTGGAAAGGCCGACGAAGAGCGAAATTCTCTCAGAGCTGATGGGTCCGCGTCATCGGCTTTTTTCCCGTGTCCGAGATTGAGCGAGCTGATGCGAATAAGATCTGGGTGCTTTGACGAGTCTAAATAGGTAGCCTGCCGTTAACGTGCCGACTTTCCAGTTTTTTATCATGCACTACCACTCCGTTCACATCAAGCAAGGCAAGATGCAATCCACCAACAACAACATGAGCCAAGCAAGGCCCGAGCCGGTACCCGGTGTTTTCAACATTGGCGGACACCTCGATCAGCCACCTCTACTTGGGGTTCCCCTCCACCGACACCGACAGAGATGATCTACAAGATTGGGCAGAGCGCACTGCCGACTTTGCCGCTTTCACCCGTACTACCGGCTTCTTGGAACTGAAGCACATGCACGGAGCTGAAAAGCCGTTGGAAGAAGGCGGGATTCGATTCTCGAACGGCAACGCCCCTCCCCACCTGGGCTTTGGACACTGGGGTTCACCTTGCCCGATGTGCCGAGCATTCTGGCTAGACTGAAAGCTGCCGGAGCCCCGGTTGTCAAGGACTTGGGTTTCAATGGTCGCGCCAGTATCCCGTTGACGGAGTTGGAGAGGGAACGTGGCGTCGGTGCGGAAGAGATGGTGGAGAGCTACAAAAAGACCATCAAGCAAGTTGCACTGGTTGAAGATCCCGTGAGTTCATCTGCTGCACCTTTTTATGAAACTTTCTCCACAGACAGGGCTAAGCAAGCATGAAAAGAATGGATACTATGTTGAGCTGGTGCCACAGAATATGCAGACAGATTGAGGCACAAGGTTGGGTTGTCACGGGCGACAACTTAGACCAGCTAGTAATTCAACGAGGCGTGCGTTGTGGCGCATCGGATAGAACTAATAAACATGCATCGTGTTTGCTGGAAGCATTGACCAGGCGGTAGCAAGTGAGACAAATTCGGAAGCAAGTGATGCGTAATGTGGATTGGTCTGATTTTGAACTCTTTGAAAATCACAGTTACCATACCACCTATCTCCTCCCCCCTGACTAGGTTATGATAAATGATCGTTAAAGTGGTAGTTGGAGTTTTCTCCGCTTTCAGCCACCTCAGCAGAGACAATGCCGATGACAAGTTGCGGAGGGAGTGGGGGGACAGGCAAAGCAGTTCCCTACTCGCCATTGTCGGCTTCGAATTGTTCATCCACGCACTCCAATGGTCGCTGACAGATTGCGGATATGACGGCAAAAATGTTAGCCAGATGTTTTAGGGCTGTTACTCGTTACGTCATCCGAACCCGGGCAGAGTGTCTTGTCGCGAGGCCGAGCCGTTACTCGCTGTGCTCGGACATTCCGGCGGGAGGTTAACCGCGACTTCGGCATCGATCGGGGACCGCTTCGGTGGGAGCCCCAGCGATTCATCGGTGGGCAAGTCCAGTTGAAATGAGATCGAAAAAATGAAAAAGAAGAAAGGATATAGGAAAAGAACATCAGTCGCAGCTTGTGAAGAATGGTAGGTACTAGGTACTGCGTGCTGAGCAGACTAAGCCGCCATTCTTCTCTCGAATGACTACATACCTACGCTGAAAAATTACAATCAGATCTTTGTCAAGATAATTACCAACTATGGCGGAGTTACCCAAAGTTGAAACCACACTGTCAAATAGTTGTTCCCCAATCAAACAGACCAGGTGCGATATGCCAGTCACAATCGACAGCTCAGCCAGTCTTCAGTCTCCACGATTGGATACCAAGAAGGAGGTAATACTTTCCCCGAAAAAATAGTCAACCCCTTTTTTGAGTGGAGCATCTCCAGCATGCTCAACCGCGAATGCCGGATCGAAGTCACATCCTCTTACCCGGGGATTCGCATAAGACAACAGCACCGAGTCGCTGTGTCGTAGGGCGGTTCTTATCTGCATTTTTTAGCCAGTCAACACTGCAGCACATCATGGCGAATACAATGCCTAGTGACTGATCTGAACAAATCACAACGCTTGAGGTAGAATGTATTCCAGTATCCGAACTACGCGCTGGGGTCGTCGGCTGGGAATCCCAGGATGACCCGGCTATGCCACGCAATTTTACCTCGTCTAAAAAATGGTTTATCGTGGGCATATTATCCTCCATCAGCATGGTCACTCCATTCGCATCCGCATTTAACTCGCCTGCAATTTCATCAATCAACAGAGAATTCCGGAACACGAATTCTCTTCTCGCCACCTTGAGCGTGACGATCTACTTGTTGGGCTATGCCATCGGGCCACTCATTCTTGCACCGTTGTGCGAGCTGTACGGCAGAAAAAAGCGTCATCAGCACTGCAAACATATGCTTTTGTCTTTTCGGCATCGGCTGCGCATTAGCGCCCAGCATGGCTGGACTTACCGTATTGCGGTTGCTTGCGGGAATGGGAGGCTCGGGCTGTCTGGTAAGGAACATTTCCAGGATTATCACGACGCGCAAACAGCGAAAGAACCTCACGTATTGACTAGTCATAATAAGACATTAGGTGCAGCAGTTGTCAGCGAAATGATTCCTGCTAATGCAAGAGGACGAGCCATGGGTACTCTCACCTGTGGCCCTCTTTTAGGTGAGTCTAACGATTTGCTGCACCCAAGGTCATGTTATGTCATCACACTGACAACTCAACCAGGCCCGACGCTGGGCCCATTGTTGGGGGGCTTTGTTGTTTCTGACATGAACTGGCGATGGGTCTTCTGGGCGGTAGTCATCATTGGCTGTCTTCACGATCCAATACTATTTCAGTTCGGCGCCACAGAAACTAACCCTCGGATCCTCGTCCAACGGAAGACCATCGCATTACGAAAGCAACTCAGAAAAGACGACTTGAGGAGTTGCTACGACTCAATTTTGTCCTCACAAAAGAAGCGCCAGATTCAACGTGTCTGCGATGGATTTGTGCAGCCTGCGAAACTCTTGTTTCTCTCTCCTCTTGTCCTTTCGCTCTCAATTTACATCGCTTTCGTTTACTGAACTATGTACCTCCTGTTCACCACAGTCACCCTCGTCTTCAGTCACACCTATGGGTTCAACGAAAGACAGACTGGACTCGTATTCCTGTCCTTGGGCGCAGGAACTGCTATCGGACGGCTTGTTACTACAATTTGGTCTGATCGCGACGTTGTCCGTTTGGTAAGAGCTAACAATAGGACGTACGTGCCAGAAATGAGGCTGCATATAATACTCGAGTTTGCTTTCCTTGTGCCTCTTACGTTCTTCTGGTACGGCTGGTCGGCATACTACAAGGCACATTCAATGTCAACGATACTCAGTCTCGTTCCCTTCCAGACAGGCATTGTCGGTGTCGTGATTCCCATGACGACTAGATTCCTATCCCGTTGAGGCAGCCAATGCCATGGCGGCTATGACAGTCTTGAGGAGCATTGGGGGCATGCTGCTACCCCTGGCGGGGCCAAGCATGTAACGGGCGCTTGGATACGGCTGGGGAAATTCTTTGTTGGGGTTTATTTGCGTTGGGTTGACACCTTTGCCTTGGTTATTTTACGTTTACGGGGGGGAGCTAAGAGCCAAGAACAACACCAAGTTCTGAGTCTTAGTACCTTGAGAAGAAAAAGACTGCCTGCGACAAGCTGTATCCAAAGTAGCTGCCTCATGGGAAATTAGGTCAACCGCGCGTCCAGTGACCCAACCACAATGCAGACCCTGCTCGAAGGGTCCTACGCGCCCAAAGTTCTGGACAAGCCCAATGTTTGTACCCGAAAAGCTCAGCCCTGCTATAAATAATGTTTAAATTGAAAATGCTTTCCAATCAGTCTAGCCCTCGCTTGCCATAGATAGTGTTCCAGGCCACTTGCAACACGTGGCTACTCAAGGCCACGCTGTCCCTTGCGAGAAACTTACCGCTTTTTGCTTTTCGTACTTGTCAACCGAATCAAAGACCTCAAATTGCATGTCAACGGCCGAGAGCCTTACCCATTGCAGTTGCCTATCAGCCCGACACGTTTCTTTTTCATGACCATGCATTCCAGGCGTGCTCACGCCCATCCCTCAATTGGGCACTGTTCCGAAAGACTGACATGCCTATCGCTCTGCGCCGTAAGACGTGCTTCTGAAGAGGCGCTTCTCCTGCAACAGAAGGACCATGTACCAACCGCAACTAGTAACGGCGAGGGCGCCTTTCCCGCGATGTTACCCCAGTCCCATCCCCGCTTCGGGAAGGTTGCAACGATCTCTCGAGTCTATTGGACCCCGTACATCGGCCCGCAGCGCTTTCTCCTCTTTCCCTTGATCACCGGAAAACTTTGTGAGATGCATGCTGTGTTCTGGATCAATTGGCCAGAAAGCGACACCTGTACGACCTCCTGTCTGACCTGCATGTTCCATCAGTGATCCTTCAGGTCTAGTCCCTCATGTCTCAGTAAGATCTACTGGGCGCGCGGGTGGCAATTTGCTAGGGCTTTGATAAGACGCCTCTTTTTGATGCTGACAGGGAGGGGATCACTCAACATTGGCAACATTGGCATCGGGGTAGAGTATGGGGGTTAAAAGCTTGGCCTCGGCAGTCGTTTTCCTCCGCGGAAATGTTGAATACTTGTATCCAGGCCGTCTGCCCATCACTCGTCGTCGTTCAGTCTTTGGTATGCTACGATATCCAGTGACATTTCACCATGGACACCGACAGCGCTTTGAAGTCGGAAAAGACGGCAACTCGAGCAGAGTCGGTCGAGCTCGCAGAGTCGCAAACATGGGACATGCACTCCACCAAAAAGCTTTTGAGGAAGCTTGATTGGCACATCATCCCGTTCATGTCGCTGATCTACCTGTAAGTTCGTTACATCGATC